GGAATAATGCTCTGCTGGACCTGGTAATCTCAAACCATGCATGATGAACACAACACAGAAATGGGAGTTCTTCACAAAGACTGTATGTGAACACACTGCAAAATATACCGTATTTTGTAAACTACACTGCAAAATATACTGTAAACTTCGGCAAGTTTAAAAGGCTAAAAATCAAACCTATGTGGCTTACAGACGAAGTTAAAAAAGCTATAGATAATAAGAAAAGAGCTTTTAATAAATATAAAAATGAAGGAATGCTATCATCGTCTAAACATTACAAAGAATATAACAGAATATGCAAAAAGGAAATAAAGGCCCAGAAAATTGAAAATGAACAACACATTGCAAAAGATAGCAGGACAAACCCCCCAAAATTCTTCAAATAGATTAATAGTAAAAAGGTCCAGTCTGAGCACGTAGGCCCTTTACAAAATAATCTAGAGTGGGTGACCGGGGACAAAAAGAAGGCACATTTATTAAATATCTTCTTCAGCTCTGTGTATACAAAGGAGTATGTGGGAGCTCTTGTCCATAATGGGCATGGTATTGACACAGCTCCAGATGATCCACATTGGCTCAAAACTGATATGATCCAGAAATATTTAGACAGAATAAAGGTGAATAAAGGATCTGGATTGGATGGCATACACCCACGGGTCCTTAAAGAATTGAGCTCTGTCATTTCAAAGCCATTGTTTCTAATTTTTAGGGACTCTTTAATGACTGGCATAGTACCACTGGATTGGTGTAAGGCCAATGTGGTGCCTATATTTAGAAAGGGGTCAAAATCTTTACCAAGTAATTATAGGCCTGTGAGTTTATCTTCTATAGTTGGGAAGATACTGGAGATATTAATAAAAGACCACAGATGAGTTCTTCCTGGAAAAAAATATTTTAAGAAACACACAGCATGAATTCATGAAAGACAACAAGTCAAACAAATCTTTCTTTTTATGAGGAGGTGAGCAAAACCCTGAACAGAGGGGTGGCGGTGGACATGGTATACTTGGATTTTGCAAAAGCGTTAGGTACCAGGGGCATCTCATGGGGCCCCCTACTGACCCCAGGCCCTCGGGCAGTGCCCGAGTTTCCAAATGGTCAGTCCGCCCCTGCGTTTGACACAGTTCCCCACACACGGCTAATGTGTAAGGTAAAGTCTACAGACTTGGAAAAATCTGTATGTAAATGGATAGAAAACTGGCTATAAGATCGTATTCAAATAGTAGTGGTTAATGATTCATACTCTGAATGGTCTAGGGTTGTCAGTGGTGTACCCCAAGATTCAGTGTTGGGACCCTTACTTTATAATATATTTATAAACGATATAGGGTCTGGGATTAAAAATACAATTTCAGTCTTTGCAGATGACACCAAGCTGTGCAGTAGAATAAGGTCCTTACAGGATGTCTTCAACTTACATGACTACCTCAATGCCTTGTTTAATTGGACAACTATGTGGCAAATGAGGTTTAATGTTGATAAATGTAAGGTTATGCACTTGGAGGCTAAGAATATGCATGCATTGTACATACTGGGGGGTGGAGGGGTGGCGTACAACTGGGAGAATCAATGGTGGAGGAGGATCTGGGAGTTCTGGTAGATCACAAGCTTAATAACGGCATGCAATGCCAAGCTGCAGTTTCTAAAGCGAGCAAAATCCTCTCTTGTATTAAAAGAGGTATAGACTCCAGAGAGAGATATCATATTACCCCTGTACAAATCATTAGTAAGACCTCATCTGGAATATGCAGTTCAGTTTTGGGCACTAATTCACAAAAAGAACATTGGGGAACAGGAGAAAGTACAGAGAAGGGCAACCAAACTGATAAGAGGCATGGAGGAGATCAGCTATGAGGAAAGATTAGAGGAACTGAATTTATTCTCTCTTGAGAAGAGGAGATTAAGGGAGGATATGATCAACATGTATACATACATCAGTGGTTCATATAGTGAACGCGGTGTAGAGTTATTCACCCTGAGGTCATCACAGAGGACAAGGGGGCACTCTTTACGTCTGGAGGAAAAGCAATGTAATCTCCAAATATGGAAAGGTTTCTTCACGGTAAAAAATGTGGAATAGACTCCCTCAAGAGTTGGTTCTGGCTAGCTCAGTGGATTGCTTTAAAAAAGGCCTGGATTCTTTCTTGGATACACAGAATATAACTGGATACTAACATTTATAAGTAAAGTTGATCCAGGGAATATCCAATTGCCTCTCGGGGGATTAGGAAGGAATTTTTTCCCCTGCAGGAGCAAATTGGGTCATGCGTTGCTGGTTTTTTTGCCTTCCTATGGATCAACTGTGGGTGTAGGATTATAACTTTTTTTTTTTTTAATGGTTGAACTGGATGGACTTTTGTCTTTTTTTCATCCAGACTAACTATGTAACTATGTACTCCAATGGTCTCCACTGTCACCAGATCCTAATCCAATATAGCACCTTTGGGAAGTGGTGGAATGGGAGATTAGCGTCATGGATGTACATCCGAAAAATCTGCAGCAACTGCGTGATGCTATCATGTCAATATAGACCAAAATCTCTGAGGAATGTTTCTAGCATCTTGTTGAATCTATGCCATGAAGAATTAAGGCAGTTCTGAAGGCAAAAGGGGGCCCAGCCTGGTACTAGCAAGGTGTACCTAATAAAGTGGCCGATGAGTGTGGTATCCACACTTTTCATGCCAAACTTGGCAATTAAAGTGGAACTATGGGCAAAACCAAACATTATTTATTCTCAGCAGTGAGTCCTCAGTGTCACATAGTTTTATTACCTGTTGATCCTGCCAGTGGATATGTTATTTTTTTCCCTTTCCTTTAATAGACCAAGCTGTCCAGCAAAAGTGATAGCTACAGGGGTTGGGACAAACCATAAAATACTGACAGGTGTGCTTAAGATGAACTTTTATTCCAAAAGAAAAAAAGCTTCTGTAACTGCTCTCAAACTATTATCTGGAGTTTGGATTTAAATTGTTTATCACTTAAAGTCCAATTATTTAAAAAAAAAAAAAAAAAACAAATCACTACCTGCAGGAGGATTGGACACTGGCAAAAAACTGTAGGCCATAATGCCCCTCTACCCACAATGCATTGTAGCAAGCAGTACCAAGAGCATAAATATAAACACAAAGGGATGAGACCCATTCCCTTCAATTGATTTTAAGAAAGGGAATTTAGTAGTAGAGCTTGAAGCTATACAAAAATCATATTTTTTTTTTTCTTGGCCATTGAGGGCCACAGGAATTTACATACTGTTGGGACATTCAAAAGCAGTCCAGCTAAGGGGTGGGCAATACAGCAACAACCACTAACAGGCCCAATGAAGAGAAGTGGGAACACCTTCAGTCCAAGATTCACCTGAAAGACTGCCCGGATGCGAACTGAATGAAGCCCGCAACCAGGTATGGGGAACCTGTCAACATGACCAGAAGGAAGGCATGGAGAATAAACCTGATATTTAAGACCTAGATGGAAAGATCACCAGAGGGAAATTACTCTAGAATAAAGGGAACCCTAAACCTGAACCAGCAAAAAAAGGTGATCAACCAAAAACCCACCACAAACCCAGACTGCTGAGATAGAAACCAGATAGAAGGGAGAATAAAGCGAATACATCTTTTCTGGCGCAAAAGAGGTGCTGCTGGGTCATTCTATAAGGATTTTGCTGAAGAACTGCAATGCCCATCTCTTACCTCAAGTCAAAGAAAAGTTCCTGATCCTTCAGATCCAGCAAAGCATCAACATCTGTTTAGTAGCACCACTATGAGCAGTCGTCTGATGAATGGAAAACCAAGGGAAGGAATCCTCAAGAAAAAGGTGGATAAGTGCCACAAAGTCATTAGGATATACTGAGCTTCTGTCAAGGGATATTAGCAGTAGGAGATTAGTGTGTTCTGCCTGTTGACCATCCAAGAAAGCACGGGGGCCTCCAGCATTGACCTCCAACTGACACGCAGGACTGAGGTGCCCCTAAGTATGTGAACCTTGTGTCCATTTGCTGAGGCTACCAATTGAGAGCAACTGGTTCCAAGGGTACTGTCTATAGTGTAATCAGCACAAGAGAAGCTGAGACTTGTGGTAGCAACCAGTAAGAAGTAGGAACCAGCCTACCTCTCCTGTTGGAGGAGGACTCCTTCTTCTTTATGGTGAAGGCCCAGCAGCACGTAGATGGTGTCCACTGAAGTCCAAACCAGAAGACCTGTCCAAGGCGAGGTCCCACTGATGGAGAAGGGAACCACTTGCTTCTGGAAGGCCAGAACGTAGCCCTTTTCTCTAGTGAGTGAAAATCCCAAAATAAGGAATGAAGAATGAGATTAAGAAAATAATGCTGTTCTCCTAGGACACTAGCATGAAAGTGAGGCATACTGGGTAGAGGAGGGGTTATCTTGGGGCTGGCCTACAAAGTTCTTGTTTGTCAGTGTCAAATCCTCCTGTAAGCAGCAGTATAACCCAACAGTATTTGAATTCCTGTGTCCCTCAATTACTTTAAGTCAAAATAAACCAAAATGATTGTTTGGAGGCCAATGGCTCATTTTCCCTAATCAATCTTTACCTAATTATGACGAGTGAAGATGACCTTGCATTGTCTGAAAATAATTGAAGGAAAATAGATTTCACAACCAATTTTTTTCTGCTGAAATGATATTGCTTAGTACCCATGACCATCATGAATTTCTATTCACTTATGTTCATACCATGTCTAGATATACAGTATGCAAATCTTGGCTACATATTTTACGGCTAACCATGCAAAAAAAAAAAAAAAAGATGAGCTCCTGCAAAAAAGAAACAGCTTTAAAAAATAACTTTTTATTTTGCTTTCATCAAATCGAAACAACTGCTGGACCCATGTCATGAACACAAATGCAGTTTTTCTTAATATTTGCCATGGACGATAGCCCTTTCACATAGGTCATCTTCACTGTTTATGCCTTCTTTCACAGTGTTGTATTGTGTAACCTTTGCTGAAAAGAAATGTTTGTGCATTTATGGTTCATAGCGTCTTATTCATCTTTTTCCACTTTTATCTGTATAAAGGAATTGAGATCAGGACAAAAGGATTTTCTTCCCCGTGCACCTCCTGTCAGTTCCTCCTCATTCACTTCCCTTTCCCAGTCAGGATTATAAAGGTGAGGGGGCAATATATGAACCTCAGCAGAAGGCAGTCGGTCAGAAAGAGCACCGTAGACACGATTGGTTTTATTGCCATGTTTAGAATGCGAGTCAATGCTGTAACAGAGTCTAGAGAGCTCTGGTGCTCGGAAACGAGGTGGCCGAGCTACCCATACACCTGGCTCAGACAGACTGTCCTCTTCATCAGACATTAACTCTTCCGTAACACCCTCCCACAAGGCTTGGTCTTCAGGAGAAAACTGTTGCACACCCCATGATCTGTTTGCAAAAAGCTGTACAAATAAGATATAAGACCAATGTTAGTACCTTATCTTTTAAGACACATATTTACTACCTTTTTTGCAGATGATCCTGTTGAACTGTTAAAAGAGAGATTACTTTCTGCTTTCAGCTTTACCTTACCAGGATTTAATGTGTAACTAAATCCCAAAACACAAAATGTAATATATTGCAGCTTACCAGTACTTGGATGCGATTGCTGCATACATTTTCTTTTTTTTTAGGATTTGTTCTCTTTATTTTTATCTGGTAATCCTACAAATAATACATACACCCCTTGACACTGGGTGACTATGCTCATTCCTCCACTGTATCTATGGAGGGAGCCATATTTCCTCTCTCTCCCGCCCCAACCAGTATTGGACATGTATTCCTTTGTTCATCTCCATTACAAGGTGATTATGAGATAAGTAGTTCACAAAAAAAAGGTAATACAGTTTTATGCTTCCATGTCAGCTTGCAAGAGGTGACAAGGACAATGCATTTCTGGCACAATTAGGTATTTCTATACTTGCTGAAAATGTTCTATTGAATAAAGAAAATGCAGCCAACAAATGTAATGACTGGTAAGCTGGGATGGGGAAGGGGTGCGGGGGTTGGGTGCAACACACTGCTGTCCATCATATACTGTATGGTAGGAAACGCAGACCAGGAAGCCTATACTGTCTTAACAGTTTATCACTATGACATGCCGGGATGAGTTGCAATCAACATTTATGTGGCTGAGCTAGCTCTTTACACCAGAACAATTTTACACACATTGTAAATGTTTTCAGAAGCTCTTTCACATGCTGTAACTTTATTTTAAGTTTAATGGTCCTTTAAGTGGGTTGAAAATCTGCCCAGGCAGTTTTAAGCCTCTTGGTAAAGAACACATTTTAATTGTCCTTTGAGGTCAAATTCAGCTTGTAGTTCCAGTAATAGAAGTAGGCACAGCGACAAAGAGTGATATATAAAGAGACTGTAATGACAGTGGAAAGAAAAGAGAGACAATGGGTCACTACTACCAGTGCATGCTAAAGAGTAAAAGATAATGCAAAAGACAGGGACTGCGGCATGTGGAAATGTTCTAGACAAATGTGCAGTAGGAAGAACTGTTATAGCATATTTAGCTTCATTTATCAGTCTAAAAGCACATTTGTCTGTGTTGCTCAAAACAACCCATCACCAGTTTTCCTTTTATTTGTTAAAATGGAGCATGTCATTGGTTGCAGTGAGTAACCCAGTTAGTTCTTTAAGGGCTTGTTCACACGTGCCGCAGTACTTGCCGATCCTCTGAAAAACTATCCGCTGTGGATCGCTTTTGATAGGTGGTGGGGTGGTGATAGGTCGCCTCCTCATGGCCTGCTAAAACCTTCAAAATGCTCACCTACCACAATACCTCGGCCCCATTCACTTAAATAGCTTGTGTTCGGCAGATATGCCACCTGCCAAATGCAACATGCCATTTGATTTTGGGTACAGCTCTGTGCAGTTGCATTGCTGTGTTTCAGTGGGAAGCTGGGGGTAGTAAAACCATGGATCAACCTGCTGCTTTTACCGCCCCTCAATTGCCTTTGTGAACGAGCCCTAATAAATGCCAGTTATATCACACACACAAAAAAAATATAGACTTCTTTAGCTCTCTGACCCTGTATCGTCGGCTCCTCAGCTTCTTTTCTTCTTTCTCCCGCAGACTCTTAAATGGATTCATAGAGTTTCGATATTCTCTCCTTTTTGTCAAAAAGTAGGCAACACAGGCACCTGCAGGAACAATGCAGATCCATGAGCAGAAAAAAAATAAACATGTACACAGGATTCATGACTATGGCAGATATTAAAGCTGAAGTTTAGGTATTGTTTTTTTGAATACCGGTAGTTATATTGGTCTAGCTTTGATCATTGTAAGTTTGTATGTGCCATACCCGGGCGATCCCTGCGGAAGCTGAAAATCCCTGTAGTAGGCACTGCTGCTATACTGATTGCTGCTAGCTTCCAGGTTCAGTGCCGAATGCTGTATAATAAACACTGGGGGTCACTCACTGGGCATGGGTGCCATTAACAGAAGGCATTGCAGTTTTATAAATTAATACCAGATGTTTTCTGATTGGATGAGGTGGAGATTGTGACCTCACTGCCTTGCCTCTCCACCTTGTTCAATCAGAGAAAAATTAAAATAAAAAGTGTGGAATGTTATTTTATAATGATAAATAATATTTTTAGTAATATTTTTTTCTCATAGCTTCAAAAGTTCTGGAAATGTTACATCTCTAGGAACCCTAAAGCAAGCAGCGATATCAATTATGGCTGATGCATACTTACATTGGTCCATGATGGGCCAATGTAACTTTGCAAAAAAAACCCTAAACTTTATCTTTAAATATCTTTACATTTCACCAATTGGGTCACATAAATTGCACAGTTTATCGATACATTAATACATTTGATGAGCTCTACCAAAATCCTTACCAGCTTACGTTCTGTACATATTGCTCTAGGTTACCGTAAATTAGCAAAATCGATGCTAACTTGAATGCTCTGTGTTTACTATAAATACGTTACCTGACCCAGGTATAAAGGGAAAACACTGCACTCCAGTATTTCTTCAGATGTGAGACCTAAACCATTACTAGAAATATAACCGTTCCTGCTACAGGCAGCCTATTATTTGACATTAAAGTGATATTAAAGGCAATTTTTAAAAAAATAACAAACGTCATATTTTTACACAGAGCAGCCCTGATCCTCCTCTTCTGTGGTCCCCCACCGGCCTTCCTGGCCCCTTCCTCCTTTTGAGGTGTGCCCCCAGAGCAAGCAGCTTGCTATGGGGCACCCAAGCAAGCTCACACCCGAGCTGAGGGAGCTGCACACAGATGTTTTTTTACCTTCATGCACAGATAGCATTTACAACCTCTTTAATTTCTGTGCAGACTTCAGAGACAAATTACAGGAAGAGGGGACATGTATTCTGGGAAATACTGCCTACAACTTAAAGCATATCTAAACTTAAGAATAAAAAAAATATATACTGCAGCTTATCAGTCCTTAGCTTTGGTGGCTGCACTAATTTTCTTTTTTCGGGCTAAAAACATTTTAAACACTTGCCGTTTGGGCCATTTCTGACATATAAATGATAAGTGGTGCGCTGTAGCATCTACAAGATTACAAACTAATATAAAAGGAAATGAGTATAAAACAGTATGTAAAAAAATATCCTGTGTGAGAGGAAAAAGCCAATAGATGAAGTGATTGAAAAAGACCCAAGTGAAAAAATAAGCAAAAAAAAAAGAAATAGTCCTCAGTGAAATTGGTCCCCTTTAGGAGGAACACTCCAAAATCTTGTCCCTTTCCTCTGTGGACACCAGTGTCACCCAACACCACAATGAAGGCAAGATGTGGGCTTTCCAAATGTACCGACCCCTTTTTTCAGAGTGGTCAGTAACTGTTCAAAATTGATAAACCATAGTAACAACTCTCTTCTCTCTGCTCCAATCCATATGCTAATGTCCAGCACCTCTCCTCAGATAGAAGTAATAAAAAAAAAAAAAAAAAAAAGACTTCTACAATCATGTAAAAACAAAGAAATAGACACCTCTCATAGTGCAGACATCATAAAACACCATTTAATTTACAAAAACCACACTTACAGACACCAATAAGCATATGCATATCAACATGTTAACCAAAACAGCAAGGGTAGCATCAACTTCCTGTAAAACTGTACATGATGACATCACGGGAGAGGCTCTGCACAACACGTTTCGTCATAAGCAGACATTTTCCCGAAAACAGTTTGACTGGCTACTTTACAAGCCAGTAACGGCTTGTAAACAAACAAACTGAAACCAGAAAGTACAACCTCATCATCGCTTCCAGTTTCTGACATCATGGAGGAGGCACAACGGAAGTTCCTCACAGTCTTCACAGTGAATCCAATGTGCATTGGTCCTGGGCTCTCCCATACCACCGGGGCACTCTTTCTCTGCCTGTAAAAGTAATCGGGTGCCAGCAGAGCTGCTCGGATCACTTTTACCAGAAAGCCCATTACCTGCTCTATAGAACGATAACAGGATCATGGTTGCAGCTACAGCCATGATCCGGTTATCACTGCTCCATCCAAGGACATATATACTGTACATACGGAAGATAGGAAGCAGTTAAAATGGTTGAAATACCTCAAATATATGAAAATACATAGCATCTCCCTCTATAGCGTGTACTTGTCTCAATACAGAGCAGTAAGTGTTATTTCTGTCTGCTGCCCAGTTCTCTGCTTTAAACACGAGTCACTTCTGAAAAGTTTTTCTGACACCAAGAGAAAAATAGTGACAGGGGAGGAAGCTCCAGCTGATTGACAGCCTCAGCTCTGTTCCTGTGAGTCCTTTTCCTCCAATCAGCACTCAGAGTTATCCTCACTGAGTGTAACTTCAGCTCTCCTCCCCCTGCTTTTCAGAGCTGAAAAATCATGTGTAAATTCTGCACTTTAAATGGATGTAGGGGGCAGACGGCTGAAAGATAAACAGGTCCAGCTTATGTAGGAGATTTGCTTCATTTCTTTGTATCACCTTGTATCACTGCACTGGGTATATATATATATATATATATATATATATATATACATACATACACGGTTTACAACCACTTTAGGCTAGTACACAAAATACCTGTTAATTTTTTCAGAAATGCAGTGTCCTTGCTGTGAGCTTAAAACATAGCAAATCAAGCTTGTGAAAACTACTCAAATCAGCCCTAATGAGGCAGAGTTTGACAAAGGCAGACATGTTTGAATCCAAGCCTGGGTGGCAACTATGGCAGTGAAAAAAAAAATGTAGCCACCCGGGGACACGTAGTGTGTTATTTTCAGGATCACCAGGTAAAAATAAAATGAAGTCTGAAAAAAGAAAACTAATGCAGCTACTACAGCCAAGGACTGTTCAGCTGCAATATTACACAGAGTATTAGTTTATAGGTAGAGTTCTTTATACAGTATATTGTTGCTATGGCTGCAAACATAAGAAATACCAACTATAGAATCCCACAGCTGGTTGCAGATTAAAACAAAACATATTGTTAGTAACATTAAATTACAAAATAGCTTCTTTAATATTTATAAATGTTGTTTCCATTATTACTGTTTTCCAATATAACTGTGTGTGGCAGACAGACCTGTGCATTTGTGACATCTTATTTACTGGATCTGTGTCTTTGCTATCATTATATACACTGACATACTTTATTTTAAAAGGCTCTTAGAACTGCACTGCCACCTGGCTATTCAATAAAGCATCATAATAAAAATGAAGACCTACAGCTATTTATTGATTACACAGTTTAGTGCAAATCTAATGTTTCTTCGAATTAGCACATCATATTAAACATCCGTACTCGGTTAAATATAATTCAGTGATGTAGAACTTCCTTCATTTTCAGCATGTGAACGATTATCAAACATATTCTGGAGCTTTTTCATACTCTTCCTGTATACAGCAGACAAGTATGGACACCTCTAGCCTGTCCCCTGCTCCTACCACTGTCCTTAAAATATATTCTGAATCCCAATTCTAGCATGCTTTACGAGCTGCCTTCTGCCAGCAGCTGAACTGCTCTTAGCCACAGAAAACAGAATACAGTCATGGTCCGAGCACCCCCAATCAATCACAAAGTGTGAACTATTTCACTTAGTACTTTGTTTGTTTGCAGGGTGTTTGACAGGTGTTAGAAATGCCTGCCCAGCTCCTTACAACTGTCAGAGAATAAAAACACAATATGAACAAGTCCATAAACAAAACAAATATCACAAACAAAACCACTTTTCTATTGTATTTCTACTACAATCCTTAACTACTTGCCCTCCAGAGAATTTATCCCCCTTCCTGACCTGGCCATATTTTGCGATACGGCGCTGTGTTATTTTAAGTGACAATAGCGCAGTCAGGCAACGCTGCACCCAAATGAAATTTGCGTCCTTTTTTCCCACAAATAGAGTTTTCTTTTGGTGGTATTTGATTGCCTGTGCATTTTTTATTTTTTTGTGCTATAAACAAAAAAAAGGCAGACAATTTTGAGAAAAAAACAATATATTTTACTTTTGCTATTAATGTCCAGTATTATATCTCCAGTAAAAAAAAAATGTAAAACTCAAATTTCGTCATAAATTTAGGCCAAAATGTATTCTGCTACATGTCTTTGCTAAAAAAAAAATCTCAATACGTGTAAATTAATTGGTTTACGTGAAAGCTATAGCATCTACAAATGACAGTATATACAGTCATGGCCGAAATTGTTGGCACCCTTGATATTTTTCCTGAAAATCAAGTATTTCACACAAAAAAGGTATTGCATTAACACATGTTTTGCTATACACATGTTTATTCCCTTTGTATGTATTGGAACAAATATAAAACAGAGGCAGAAAAGCAAATATGACATAATGTCACACAAAACCCCAAAAATGGGCTGGACAAAAGTATTGGCACCCTTAACTTAATAATTTGGTTGCACACCCTTTGGAAAACATAACTGAAATCAGTCGCTTCCTAAACCATCAATAAGCTTCTGACACCTATCACCCGGAATTTTGGACCACTCTTCCTTTGCAAACAGCTCCAGGTCTCTCTTATTGGAAGGACACCTTTTCCCAACAGCAATTTTAAGATCTCTCCACAGGTGTTCAATGGGATTTAGATCTGGGCTCATTGCTGGCCACTTCAGAACTCTCCAGCGCTTCTTTGCCATCCATTTCTGAGTGCTTTTTGACGTATGTT